TGTACAATCTCTGCTCTAAAGACTTGGCATTCCATTTGATGGAGTGTTCTCTGGCGATCTCCTCAAGTAGCTGTATCTTCATTTCCTTTGAAGGGGGCTCTGCTTTGAATCTCTCTACAAACTGCACATTCCGATGGAGGTAAGGATTATAGATACAGATACAGAGAAGAGAGCATACAGCAAGAAATACCTCAGGATTCACAAACTGCTCAAGTGAATTGCCGTATCTGTCAGCAAATAAAGACCTGAGATCGCGAAGCTCGGGCACTTCAGAGACTCTAGCGGCTGCATAGACAAGGGAGGCGATGGCCTCGCGACACTCGTCAGGGCACCGGCTGCAAAAGAAAAGACCGAAATTCAGATGAAAGAATCCAAGCAAAGCAAGATTAAGTGAAGGCAAAAGGAGGAGGTGTTTGTTTCACCTGGACTTCTGTAAGAGAGAGACATTGGATGCAACACAGATGCAGAATTGCTCCAAGGACTCATAACAGGACAGCCTCCTTTTCTCCTCAATAAGCCCTTCTGCCTGCCAACACACACATGAGATCAATCATGTGACAAACTTTAAGACAACCACAAAAAGCATATGGGTTTTATAAGCAACAATATATATCTCTGTGTTGTAGTACTAGTAACCAGCTGGTGACAGCACTCAAATGAAATACATATTTCTTTTTTTTTCCACATATAACGAAATAGAACCAACAAGAATTTAACTAAACATCGTTGACCCCTTTACTTTTTTTTTTAGAGAAAAAGAAAAGGAATTTCGATGCTTTCACGTAGGGAGAACCAATCAGATTCACGCGACCCATTAACACAGGGAATGAATTACGGGTCCAATTAATTATGAATAATAATTTCATGATCGGCGACATAAACACAAGAAAAGTAAGAAACGGGTTAAGGGAAAAGTACCCTGCCATATGCATTGTAATCGAGATTGTTCTTGAGGAGATCAACAATGTCGTTCTTCAAGAATTTGCAAACAGAGTTTTTCTTCCTCTTCACCGTATCCACTCTTGTCTTTGTTATCTTCACCAACGCCTTGCTGAGAAAAATTAGAAACACGTGTGAAATCAACAAGACCTGATGATGATAGATGAACGTAACCAAGAAAGACTTACCATTTCGTATAGAATTTGGGTTTAAACAGCCCGTCAAACATTTTTTTTGCTTAAAAACAGAGATATGGGTTTCTTCTTCTTCTTCTTGATTGTTGATTGTTGAGTTATCTCTCTTTCGTGCA